TTTTCATATTTTCCATTCCCTTTCCACTAATTCTGTCCTGCTTTTTTAAACAAACTGGAAAATAAACAAGAGAAAACGATAAAGTGAAATTGCAAGTGATCAAGGAACTGATCAAGTGAGATTGCAAGTGAGTGAGAAAACAATAAAAAAACAACAAAGTGAGATTGCAAGCGAGAAAAAAACGAGTAACGACAATATCACAATCAACTCAAAAGCAAAAGATGAGTTAAAGGAACAAGTGAGAATCAAAACAGGAGATCGTCATCATTGTCCATCCATCAGAGGATGTCCATGGTGCCGAAATTGATTGAATAGTGGTGGGGGAGGCTCGGTTGAATAGTGTTGGGGCAGAGGGGTTCATGGGATACATAGCCATCAAGAGCCAGTCCATAATTGGAGCAGACCCGGGGACTCTGTGAAATGTGATCGCGGGCCGGGGAACACGTGTCAACTGCCCCCCGGACCGTTGGAGATGCTCTAAGTGCGCGCCTCCACGAGATCCTCCGCCGACTTCACCTTCCACCAGTCGATCCCGAGGAACGTCAGCAGTTCGATGTCCACCGGCAGTACCGGTTGGGAACCAAACAACAGCTTGTACGGAGAGCAGCCCGTACCCCGCTTAGTCGAGATGTGATCCGCAAACAGAACCGTCGGTAAGAACTGTTGCCACTTCCGCCCATCTTCGCCGCAAAGTTTGGCCAACGCGTTCTTCAAAGGCTGATGACCTCGTTCGATGACCCCTGCTCCCTCCGGGTAATTCTCCGTCACTCTCCCAAACTTTGCTCCGCAGGACTCTACAAGCTCCTTCAGCCGCCCTTTGAACTCCGCGCCGCCGTCTACTGTGACCAGACGAATAAAACGTATCTCGGTACCCAGTCCTCCTCGAAAAACTGACACACCTCTCCGAAGTCAACTTAACAAAGGACCGCGTCCGCCCACCCGGACAGATCGTCCCTAGCCACCAGTAAGTACTTAAACTTCCCCGCTTTGTTGTGACAGACGTCCTCCAACACACGACTAACCAGCGTATCTTCTCCAGTCGGAATGCCAATCTCCTTTGCAGATAGGTACTTCGCCG